CCCCAAAACCCCAAAACCCCAAAACCCCAAAACCCCAAAACCCCAAAACCCCAAAACCCCAAAACCCCGAGCCTTTGAACTTCATTGAACAATAATTTATTATTTATTCAATCGCTATGGAGTCGAAATAATTAGCAAATCAAGGCTAATCTGGCTTCTCTATCGATATAAGAGTTGCTAAATTTGCGTTGCAGAAGAAGTCATTCACTTGGGCTTCTTGTTTTATTTCAATTACTCTAACAACCCTAGAAGCTAGTAGTGAAAGTGAGTTAAATAAGCTTTTGAATTTGACAAAGAGCCTCTTTAAAGATGCTCTGATGGCTTCTTCGCTTGGCACCCAGCTCTGCAAATCAGCGATGAGTTCTCGTTCATTTTCTGCCATATGATGAAGCAACTCTTCATTGCTGGTGATCAATGTACTTCTGATTACAAGATGATCAGATGACTGGTAACCTTTCTTACAGCTTTGTTCTATACTGATTCCTATTGGCATCCATAAAAGCTGAGGCTTAATCGCTTCAATGAGACTTGAAAGGGCCTCACTTAGAGTCTGATTGGAAGTTGTTTGATCGCTAGGGTTTTGTCGATAGGCTTGATTCAGTAATTGTTTTCTTAGTCTCACATTCAAGAGTTGAACTACTGCTTCTATCCATAGTGAGAAGAAGTGTCTGTGTAGGCTCTTGTTGTGTACTGGCTTCATAAGGCCCTTTTACAAATCCTTGTCAAGTGTCTTCAGATCGGTCTTCGCTTCTCTGTTCGGAACCTTCTTTGATAATTAGTTCATATTGAAGGCGAGGCATGGTAATCTCCTTTAAACTCAAGTTGAGATCTAGACTAGTCGAAATTCACTTTGTTGCATCATCATTATGTTCAGCAAATAAGTAATTCTGAGATGGCTTGACACTATTTGATTGCCAATATTTAAATTCGTAGCTAAAGTATGAACAACGAATGATAAAAACTTACTCTCTGCCATTCTGGAGAAAGTGTTCATCCATTATCTCATTAAAACTAAAGGTCATTCTAAGTTTGAGCACTGCTTTTGGGAATATTCAAACAAAGGTTGATCAAACTTTTGAGGACATCAAACTTTACATGAAGTAGCAAATTTTTCGGAAAAAAATTACTAATATTGCATATCAAATTTATAATGTTAGGTTCGGAACCTCTAATTCAATTTTACATGAAAGTGACGGGGTTTTGGGGTTTTGGGGTTTTGGGGTTTTGGGGTTTTGGGGTTTTGGGG